GTTGTCGCGCTTTAACTTTTCCCCGGATCTCCGGCTTCAAGCCCTCAATGAAGGTTCCCAATAGCTGTTTTTCAGACCAATCACGAGTTTGATTAGATAACCTTTCAAACCTGGTTTGGTACTCCTGAATGGTGGAGGTTTATCGGATCTTTGCTAGTTGTCCGTCAATGTTCTCGTAATCGGTTGGTCCGAAGCGGATCAGTAGTCCTTCTTTGAAATGTCGCCATGAAAGGACTCCATAAGTGTGTTCAAACCAGTCAAACCACTGTATGGCATCCCCTTCAAGATGTATAGCTGTAATTTCCACCATGGATGCATCCACAGTTTTATGGTACCGAAAATATCGCTCCGCGCACGAGATCCAACCAATTAGGTCTCCTTCCCATCTAGGGAAGTCCACTCTCATGCGCGAATAGTTGGAGTCAGTCATAGAGCCTCCCCTCTCTTGGAAGTCATCTCTTTGGGCATGATGTGATTGGTTAGAGCTCTCTCCTTGATGTGATTTCTTCGGGCTTGGTGGTCGGCCCAAACTGAATTCGGTAAGGAGAGTCCGAATCTTATCCTTCATTCATGCCTTAAAGGCTTCAAATTTAGCATTGATTGCCTCCTCAGATGCCATAGTATATGACTCCAAATCTGTGATATTAAGATCTCTCTTTTATTGACGGGTTAAAGGCATTTATAGGTTGAGAGAAGTGATGGTTTAAAGGGTTGGTGGATTGGTAGATGTAGGCTGTGGTTTAGGTTTGTTTTGTGGCTTTTTTGGGTACAGTTTGAGGGTGTGGTTTGGTGGAGTTTTAGGGCTGTGGATGAAAGTTTTCGATCTGTGGTGGATGGCAGCAAAGGTTTGATAGAAATCAATGAAAGTTTGCTGCAGAATTGTATTGTCTTGTAAGAGCAGAATTGTCGTCGAAGAAACAACAGTTTCTTGATGAAATCTCCACCAACAATTTGACAGATTTGAGGAGGGAATTGACAGTAATATCTTAGTTTATATGACAGAGAAAATATAGTATTAAGATCAAACAAACAGTGCTCTACGGTTGAAATTCTGCAATGTATCTTTCGTTGTAGAGATGAAAACTTTGTGACGAAAAGTTTATGCAGCAATATAGGAACAATTTTTTTTTTTTTGGATTTTCGGATAGGGATAACTAAATTGCAGCAGTAGTAAGGTAGGAAACTAGAACTTGTTGTAATTCACGGGATGATCCGCGGTGGTGGAGATGATGACGGAATTTGACGACAATCTTTTAAGCAATTGTGAGAATTACTTTGGGCGGCTGTGGAGAGCTGATGGATGGCTATAGAAGGGCAGCGAGATGCCAAGAACGTTGCTCTGATACCAGGTGTTAGAACCCTTGCAGATTCTAAAGTTGGGGTTGATCTCTTTAGGGGATCGGCCTCCTTGGAACTCTATAGGGGTTCTTCCCTCCAAGTTGCTGCTCAAAGGCTGCAGAAAAGATTCATCTATTGCCTATGAAAAGAGGAGGAATACATGGCTATTTATAGGGCTTCTAAACCCTAACTCCTAATAGGATTCCTACTCAAGACTCCTACTTCTAACCAACTCCTAATAGGACTCTTACTTAAGACTCCTATTCCCTTACAACTCCTAATTCTTCTCTAAGAAACAACCTCCTAACCCTAGCCGGCCTCTTCACCTCTTTAATAAGAGTCGGCGTTGGTAGGTTTTACATGAATGTCCCTCTCAATTAGGACTCTCCTAGCTAAAGTCCTAACAAATATATTATTTATAGTTTTATCCATGACACCATGGCAATTGGGAGGACGAACTCCCGAGTATTCTATGGGCATCTTGAACTACTCTAAAAACCACCTTGAGCGAATCACCGTTCAACCTAGCATTCAGCACTGACGTAGTGCTTTTGCCTGAGATGGTCTTCCCGAGCCTTCGGATCAAGAACTTCAAAGAAAGTATGTCAGAAGAAGGACTCCAAGACAATCTAGACCTTATCGATGAATGAAGGGTCAAAGCACATCTCTGTGACAAAAAAGCCATGGCAAGACTTCACAACTGAAAAATTCGCCCCCATTGGATTAAGGTCGACGATCTCGACCTATGCAAAACCGAGATCAATAACCTGACTCGAGCCAAAGGGAAGTTGGTAACAAACTAGGAAGGCCCTTACTAGGTGATCGGCATGATCCAGGATGGGACTTACTATCTCACCACTCTAGAAGGAGGTTAACTAATGAGGACCTGGCATATAACAAACATGAAAAAATTCTATGTATAAGACCGAGTTCTCGGCCCTCTGAAACCTCGTCAAGCAGAAGGATGAAGGTGCCACCTACCGAATATGCCCCAAAGCCACCTTGGTCTAACAACCGAAGAAGTATCATTGTATTTTGCCAGCTTATAAGCAGTCCAACACTATGAACTCGATTGGTCGAGCAGCAAGAGAAGAAACTTCCAAAATGCAAGACCCCCCGGGTAAAACTAGGACCTCGCAGACCCAAGGCCTACATCTTAGTCGAGCAAACCTACTCCTGTGCACCTTGGCCATAAGACCTAAGGCCTACACCTTGGTCGAGCAAACCCGCTCCTAAGCCATGCACCTCGGCCAAAAGACCCGAGGCCTGCACCTCGACTGAGTAAACCTACTCCTGAGCTGTGCACCTTGGCCAGAAGACCCGAGGCTTGCACCTTAGCTGAGCAAACCCGCTCTCGAGCCATGCACCTCGGCTAGAAGACCCAAGTCCTGCACTTCGACCAAGCGAAGCTTGCTAAGGCGGACCTGCTCCTGAGTCATGCACCTCAGCCAAAAGACCCAAGGCCTATATCTCGACCGAGTAAACCCACTCCCAAACCATGCATCTTGGCTAAAAGACATGAGTCCTACACCTCGGCCAAGTAGAGCCCGCTAAGGTTGACCCACTCCCGAGCTGTGCACCTTGGCCAGAAGACTTGGGGCTTGCACCTTGGTTGAGCAAACTTGCTCCTAAGCATTCACCTCGACTAGAAGACTTGAGTCCTACACCTTGATCGAGTGGAGCCCGCTAAGGTGGACCCACTCCTTAGCCATATACCTTGGTCAGAAGACCCAGTGCCTGTACCTCAGTTGAGCAAACCCACTCCCAAGCCATGCACCATGACTAAAAGACCCAAGTCCTACACCTCGACCAAGTAGGGCCTGCTAAGGTGGTCCTACTCTTGAGTCATGCACCTCGGCTAGAGGACTCGAGTCCTACACCTCAGCCGAGTGAGGCCTATTGTGAACCCACTCTCATGCCGTGCACCTCAACCAAAAGATCTGAATCCTGCACCTTGGCTGAGTGGGGCCGACTAAGGCAGACCCGCTCTTGAGCCATGCATCTCACCCAGAAGATCCGAGTCTTGTACCTCGACTGAGCGAAGCCTACTAAGGCGGACTTACTCTCGAGTTGTGTACTTCAGCTAGAAGACTCGCTAAGGCAGACATATGCTCAAGTCAAAAAGGCACACCTTAAGCCCCTTATGAGGAACCGGAGGCATGTGGCGCACGTGCACGGAACGACCATGAAGTGACGCAGAGGACTTGGGAACCAACCAAAAAGGCACATATGTCGAAGTAAAAAAGGCACCACTATGCCCGAGATAGTAGAAAGCAGCCCCACACGACGTGAAACCATAATAGTTGACTTGTGCTGTTCAGGGCAGATGAACCGGTCGCTTGGAGTATTGATGGTCAATTAACAACTTGCATGCAACCGACCCTTAGGGAGAGGTATAAAATGCTAACCCCCTAGCCAACATCGGAGGCGGAGCTCGAACATTTAATGCTACTACAAAAACTAACTTAAGCTTCGGAGGGATCGAGCTAGGAATTCCTCTCCTGGCATCGATCTATTATGTAGGGACCCAATGCCAGAGGCAATCCCAACTTCCCTTGGCTGACCCAGGAGACACCCACTACCACTCTGACCTCGCCCTTAGCCTCGAAATGCCTATGTGGATGCCCTTGCACAGTCGGGATCGAGCCAAGCTGTGCTGACTCCCAGGCCACGACATAAAGGACAACAACATCAGTAAATATGATATTTACAAGATTTCAATCCACATTCTAAGAATGTAATATCCTAAGATGAAATAAAACTTCAGGCAACTATAATTAATATGAAATGTAGCAACTATAAATGGACAAATAACATAGAGTGGTGAAAGCTTTATACCTTAGATCTTGATGATTTAGGAGCTTTGACCACAGGGTTGGCTTTAGCAATCTCCTCCTTTCCAAACTGATAGGGAATATTTTGGTATCGCCATGCAGTGATAACTAGTAGCCACCTCGGAATCAACATGATGTTTCAGAGTTGACGTGTTGCACGTGGGCGGAACGACCTTGAAGCGACGTAGTGGACTCGGGAACCAACCAAAAAGGCACATATGCCGAAGTAAAAAAGGCACAGTTATGCCTGAGATCATAGGAAGCAGCCCCACATGGCGCAGAACCATAACAGTTGGCCTGTGCCATTCAGGGCAAATGAACCAGTCGCTTGGAGTATCGATGGTCAATTAACAACTTGCATGCAACCGACCCTTAGGGAGAGGTATAAAATGCTAACCCCCTAACTAATGTCGGAGGCGAAGCTTGAACACTCAATGCTACTATAAAAACTAACTTAAGCTTCGCAGGGATCGAGCTAGGAATTCCTCTCCTGGCATCGACCTATTGTGCAGAGACCCAATGTTGGAGGCGATCCCAACTTCCCTTGGGCTGACCCAGGAGACACCCACTACCACTTTGACCTCGCCTTTAGCCTCGCAATGCCTACGTGGATGTCCTAATATAGTCGGGATCGAGCCAAGCCATAACGACTCTCAGGCCATGATATAAAGGACAACAACATCAGTAAATATGATATTTACAAGATTTCAATCCACATTCTAATAATGTAATATCTTAAGATGAAATAAAACTTCAGGCAACTATAATTAATATGAAATGTAGCAACTATAAATGGACAAATAACATAGAGTGGTGAAAGCTTTATACCTTAGATCTTGATGATCTTAGGAGCTTTGACCACAGGGTTGGCTTTAGCAATCTCCTCCCTTCCAAACGCCTTGTAGTCGAATGAGCAATCATGGGTGTCCGTGTACTGGTGGCGGCCGCAGAAGAGATCTCCGCATTGGCACCGGAATCCAGTGAGCCCCACCTTTTTCCGGCAAGTGGAGCACCTATTACTGAATCTTACTGGCGGCTTAGGTTCCTCCTTAGGCTTCTGTGCGGAGGAAGCCACGACGGGTGTCTCCACATCCGGAGTTCCCGGTCTCGGATTCGGCGATTCCTCATAAGGATTCAAGAACAAGGATGGCGGTAATCGTGACGATGATGGAGGAGTGGGGGGAGACGGAGAAGGAGAGGAAGAAGAGGAAAGTTTGAGGATTTCAGCTTCTTTGTCAAGATTACATCTTTCTCGAGCCATCTGACTGGTAGGAAAAGAAGAAAACACCCAAAAATCCAAATTTTTTTTAAGAAGTGAAGCAGATCAAGGGAATTGGAGCGCAAACAGGATTAATTACAACACAAAAGCACCACAGAATTTCACAGCATTGCTAAAAGATGGATCTTTTAGGACTCGGATCGAAACGACGAGTAATATAGCGAAAAATAAATGTAAGATAAATCCGGAAAAATTGAGCTCAAATCTTAAAAAGGAATTATTTTCCATCAAATGGAACATCCGTAGTCACGAAGGATTAAAGCTGCAGAGGATCGAGATGTGACCTTCACTACGAAATCAGATCGAGATAGGACGAATATATCAGGCGCAAAAGAACTGATTTTTCCCCATGCTTCCACGGAATCAAGTTCGAGGGTAACAAAAACTGTGAAGATGATCGTGGACAGAGCGACTCTGATCGACCGGACCGACGAAACGGCGAAATAATCGGTGGAAACTGGGGGAACTTAGAAAGGTAAAAGCATCAGATTTCAAGGTGGAGTTAAAAAAAAAAGCTAATAATAAATATATGTAATTTAATCAAACAATATAATTAATAGGGCCATCAATTAAAGTTGAAATAATCTATGGGCACAACTCAAAATTAAACAATATAATTAATAGGGCCTCCTCCCTGTGCTGCCTACGCCATCACTCTTACGTCATCGTCGAACCCTAAGGGTGTTATATGCTTGGAGGGGGATAATTGACGAGACCAATCCGTGCACGAAGGTGGAGATAACCATGGGAGAAGAGAGGGATGGTGGATTGGCCAACTCATGTGTAGAGGTGCAAGCACCTAAGTGAGGGAGGGAGGCGACTAGCGGGGCCAACTCATGTGTGAAGGTACAAGTGTAACCAATGGGACCAACTTCATGTGGAGACGCATACGATTATGTGAGGGGAAGGAGTGGCCCATGAAGCTAGACCATATGTGAAAGGTGTAAATGAGCAGGGGTAGCAGCCATCGATAAGGCCTACCAATGTCAATGGAAGCATAACCAATTAGGAGAGAGGATAGTCGATAAATTGGAGGGGATAAAGAGCAATGACCGACAAGGATAGGATGTTCATTTTGAAAAAAATAAATTTTACGAGTAATTTTTAAAATTGAAACGTTATGGGACAAATTTTCAAAGTTAGATTTTTTAATGAAAATCCATCCTATATATAATACTAAAAACACTTGATGTGAAGCATTAATAATTATTTTATTACGAGTGGTCCCAAATTAATTTCGTAATTAGCGACATCTCATCTGAACATCTATCAAAAGTATAAGAAGATCGGCAGCTTTCTTCTTTAAAAATCCTTCATTTGGAGATCTTCACTCCGGTTTCACGGGAATCTTCACTCCGGTTTCGTAATTAGTGCATTAATAATTATTTTATTACGAGTAGTCCCAAATTAATTTCGTAATTAGCGACATCTCATCTCAACATCTATCAAAAGTATAAGAAGATAGCAGCTTTCTTCTTTAAGAATCCATCATTTGGAGTTCTTCACTCCGGTTTCAAGGGAATCTTCCTTCAATTAATCCCTCTTCGACTTCTGTCAGATAATTACCTTCCACTAAGAGCATTATAACTCTCAATTGGGTGGTCCAAATATTAGTTTCTTTTTTCAATAAAGCAAAAAAATATAATACTATATTTAATTAGCCATGACTAAAAAAGAAGTCTGCACAGAGAATAATGATATAAGCATTGACCTGCTGATTTACCCAACGATTCATCGTCACCTAGATAATGACGTGGGCAGAAGAACCCTCGTGCCCCCCATTCCATGTGACGATTGATGAGAAGCAACTTTCCATCCTCAACTGACCATAGTTTTGAGAAAGGTTACATAGGCCGACCATAGGGAGCATTAAATCCTAGCAGTAAAGCTCATTTCTCCCTTTTTCCAATCACTTGACATAGACAACCACCATCTGCTTATCCTAGGCAAGCATTAACACTGACAAATGATGCCCCCGCAATCATCTTTCATTAACGATGCACCATAGGGAATTGTACCAACTGGTCTTCTACGTAAATGAGCCCGAGCCCCTAAAGGATGTACGAGCTATCCACATCAATCATCAACCTCCCTCCGTTGGTTGCCTAAGTATAAAAGTCGATCCTCGGAGCTTGAACAAGGGATCGAAAGTAGAACTTCTACTATTCACTCTCTCACTCAGATTAACTTTACCATCGGAAGGGTCAGTTCAGAAACTCCCTCGACACTGATTGTTCATGCAGGGTCTTCGATGAAGCCAAGGCACACTTTAATTTGATGCAAAATCTATCTAAGTGTAAAGCAACACTTCGAGATTGCTTCAGCTAATCCTTCCCCCACTCCAACCACCTTATATGATTGCCACATGGGCCGTTAAGACGAGCTTGTACCTTTGGGATAGAATCAAGTCATGCTGACTCTTGGGTTCGTTGAATCCCAGATTTTGATAATAAAATCAATTGGTGAGTTTACGATCTAATCCATGTTTTGAGAAAAGTAATGTAGTACTAACTTCGATCATGAAAAGACAAGACAATTGAAGTAGAAGAATTAGACGTTAGGCCGGAGTCAGAGATCAGGCATCGGGCCAAAAGAATCAGATGTTACGCTAAGATCGGATATTGTAGAAGTCAACATTCCGATGGATCGAGTGACATATCGAAGGATAGCACGATGTGCCAGGAGTTCGGATAAACCAATGATGTGCCGAACAATATAGATTTCATGCCTTGTAATCATTTAGGTCTTTATTATCGTAGTTAGGTCTTAATTGAGTTAGTTTTGGGTGTAACCTTATTAACTCAATTAGGAGCCCATTGGGTCTGATCTGGGGCTAAGTTGGGCCTATTGGGAGGCTATTCAAGGCCTCAAAGTTAGGTCAAGCGGTGGCATCGCCAGACCAGATAATGGAACCACCTATGAGCTGGAACGTATGAAGTGTATGTTTTTCGAAAGACTTGGCGGTGGTACCGCCCAAACTGGTGATAGTACTGCTAGTACTGCTAGAATCAAGTCGGCATTAAGAGGGGTGAATTAGTATTTTTGATAAAAATATCGATTTTAGAAAACCTTCATTTGATGAAAATAATAATAAAAGCGTGATTGACTAAGAGTAAGTGAACTAAGTAATCGACTTAGAATGTAATAGTAATGAAACACAAAAAGAAAGTGCAAACCAGATTTATAGTGGTTCGGTCATTGTGACCTACGTCTACTCCCGATTTCTCCTCTGTTGAGGCCACTAGCATTCACTAACAGTCTTTCTTCAATGAGTAAAGACTAACTACGCTTTTACAACTCTTTCTCATTTTCACAGGTTTAGGAGATAACTTTTACAAGCCTCACACCTCTCTTAGAATGATCACAAAGCTAAAGAAGGAGGAGGAGGACACTTAGCACTTTCTCAACACTTTTACAACCTAAAATCTCAAAACTTTTGTTCATACTTTTGTGCTCTTTTATGCATAAAAGAGTGGGGTATTTATAGGCCCCAATGACTTTAAAAATAGAGCCAAAAAGTGTCTCATCCCTGGTTTCTAGGTATGGGCGATACAACCACCATTATTAGGTGGTACCATCACCTATAGACTAATACTAGATGGTACCACTGTATGACAGAGCCTTAGAGACTGGGCTCCAATGGTACCACCACCTGATAGGGCGATACCATCACTTGGTATTATTAACTATTGGTGGTACCATCGCCTAATCTAGGTAGTACCACTGCCCATACCACCTGGGAGGCTGAGCCTCAAGTAGTTCCACCACCCAGTCTGGGTGGTGCCACTGCCTATCGTGGCTCCAAGTGGTTGAATGTGCCATCTAACTAGCCCAATTCAACCTTGTTTTGGGCTCAAGTGGCTTCTAATTGAGTTAGTAGAATTTCTCCTAAAAGTAACTCAAATTAAAGTCCTAACTATGATAGTTAAGGCTAAAATAATTATGATACAAGCAATCTAAGTTGTCCCACATGTCAATTGTTCAACCAGACTCTCGATAAACTTCCGACAAACTCCCGACGAACATTCGGTGAGCTTTCGGTGAACTCTCAATGAACTTCTAGTGAGTTTTTTATAAACTCCCGGTGAGCTTCCGGAGAGTTTTCATTATATCGTTTGATCCTTTGGTGTATCCCCCAATTTATCCGGCCCAATGCCCGATCATTGACTTTGACTCAACATTCGATTCTTTTTTAATTATTTTACCTTTTTCACGATCATAGTTAGTCCTGCATCACTTATCTCAACACATGGATTAGATCATTAATTCATCAATTTATTTTATCATCAAAATTTGAGATTCAACAAGTATATGGTCTCCCATGTTGCAAAATGGTAGTTGTTGGGAAATCTTAGGGGGCATCACATGCATAGTAGAAAAATATAAAAATAAAATCTTCAAATTATTTATCAATGTGTTCATCATCATGCTAAGATTGGTGCACAAAATCAATGAAACTTAAAACCACGTGTGAGATAGTTGTATTACTTAGGGAGATCATATATCCCTAAATCCTTCTAGATCTATAGGAGAGTGTGAAGGAGGTCAAGTATCCTCCTCTCTAGCTGTGATCCATATGGCCGGGCTACAATGATGCTCCTTAAATCTCCAAGCTTTTTCTATTTGAGAAGTGTTAGGATCAAGAACGGCTTTAAGAGAGGGGGGGGGGGGGGGGGGGGGGGGGAGGGGAGGTGAATTAGTGCAGCGGATAAAAACGATAAATTTAAACAATTTTAGAAAACTTCGTACGATGAAACTCTTAGTTCGACATAAACCATTTTTAAAAGACATTTGACTCAAATAAGTTTGTAAGTGAGTAGAGTGGAGGGGATTGGACAGTTTGCAATGAAGTAAAGTAGAATGCAGCAAAAGTAAAGTACGCACCAAGAAGAGAACATACCAATTTTATAGTGGTTCGGTCATATGACCTACATCCACTATCGATACCTCCTCCAATGAGGTCACTAGTTTCCACTATTGATCTTTCTTGAAGGGCAAAGATCAATCACCCATTTACAAAACTTTCATAAGTAGCTCACTCTCCTTTTACAAACTTTCACACTTAGAAATGATGGAGGTGAACTCTCAAACTTTGTAAGCTATTTCACTATAGTTTTGGTTTAGTTCTGATCACTTCTTTATACTTTACTAGTTGAGAAGTAAGGGGTATTTATAGCCTTCAATTGACTTCAGAATTAAAGCCAAAAAGTGTCACATCCCTGATTTTCAGGATATTGATGGTACTACCATCATTATTGGGCGGTACCATTAGGGCTCTAGCTAAGAGAGTCCTAATTGAATTTTATTAAAAGGGGTATTTATATAAAACTTATCTTGCTGACCCTTATTAAAGAGTTGAAGAGGTCGACTAAGGTTAAGATTAGTTTAAAAGTTGCTTCTTAGAGAAGCATTAGGAGTTGGTTAGAAGAGTCTTGAGTAGGA